AAGAGAAGAAGAAGAGGAAGAAGAAGAAGAGGAAGAGGAAGAACAAGAAGAAGAGGAAGAGGAAGAGGAGGAAGAAGAAGAAGAAGAAAAAGAAGAAGAAGAAGAAGAAGCAGAAGCAGAAGCAGAAGAAGAAGAAGAAGAAGAAGAGGAGGAGGAGGAAGAAGAAGAAGAAGAAGAAGAAGAGGAAGAAGAAGAAGAGGAATAATAATAAGAAGAAGAAGATGAAGAAGAAGAAGAGGAAGAGGAAGAGAAAAAATAAAGCAGAAACGAAAAAACTATATTAAAAAATTACTCAAAAATAAATAGAAGAAAATAAATAATGCAGAAAAGAAAAAAATTATATAAAGCAAAAATATTCACAAAGAAACTAAATATAGCAAAAAAATATTAAAAAATGTTGGGGCGCTGCCCGGTGGGCCTGCCAGACCTAGGGTGTGCAAATACAGGCCCGAAAGGGCCAGCAGGCTCATAGGGCAGCACGCCGTAGTTAGGCCCAGAAGCCTGCTATATAGAGGAGTTCGAAAGGGCAGCCGCGGCTGGATTTATAAACCAGTGCGGCTGCCCTTCGCTCGGCGAGGTGGGACTAAAAGTAGCGCACTACGGGTGGCATCGCACGGCCATTAGTACCAGTTGGTGGCTCCAACCGGTACTAAAGGGCAACACATTAGTACCGGTTGGAGCCACCAACCGGTACTAAAGGCCCTTGGCCTTTAGTACCGGTTGGTGGCTCCAACCGGTACTAAAGGCCCCTCCTATATATATGGCACTTCCAAAAAATCAGTTCCATATCGACCACTTCTTCCTCCACTCGCGCGACATCGATATCGCCGCGCGCCGCCGCCGCCGCGCCGTCGCCCTCGCCGCCCCTGTCGCCCCGTCGTCACCGTCTCGCGCCGTCGTCGCCGTCTCGCCCCGTACTACGTCGCCTCGTGATCGCCCCCGGCCCGCCGCCCGTGTCGTCGTGACTTCCCCGTCGCCGCCCGTACGCCGCCGCCCCCGTCGCCGCCCGTACGCTGCCACCCCCGGCCCGCTCTCGTACCCACACATACACACATGCATAGACACACACATACACACACACACACACACACTACACACACATATGTACACACGCATACACACACAGTACTACACACACATATTTTCTGTTTTCTATTGTTTAGATTAATGTTAGATTAATTAGTTAGAAAAGTTGTTAGCTAGATGAATATAGGACTAGTTTATTTTTAGTAAATGCTTAGCTAGTTGAACTAGTTGAATTAATATAACTAGTTTATTTTTAGTAAAAAAATTAGGTATATGAGATTATTTGAACTAGTTGAATTAATATAACTAGTTTATTTTTAGTAAGAAAATTTAGGTATATGAGATTATTTGAACTAGTTGAATTAATATGACTAGTTTATTTTTAGTAAATGCTTAGTTGAACTAGTTGAATTAATATAACTAGTTTATTTTTAGTAAGAAAATTTAGGTATATGAGATTATTTGAATTAGTTGAATTAATATAACTAGTTTATTTTTAGTAAGAAAATTTAGATATATGAGATTTTAATAGAAGTAGTTGAATTAGTTGAATTAATTGAATTAGTAAGTGTTTAATGTTTCGCCTAATATGAACATAGGAAATGACGTCTGACGACGGAAACAATTTCATTATGTGTGAATACTGTGAAGACCAGCGCGGCCAGTGCGACAGAAGTTTCCTTGTTGATGATAGGCGATTCAACATCAAGCTGGATGAGACCTTCGAATTCGATACTATAAGTCACAACGACAAGTCTATTTTCGTAATTAAGCATGACTTATATATGCTTTATTTGCCTGACTTATAGTTTTTAATTTTCACTATTTTACTAGCGCATCCCCTACCATGCAAGAATTTTTGTCTTGAATAAAATAGGTTTCAATGATATGGAAACTATGGAGGTAAAGAGAGTTTACCTGAAAGCTGAGCATGGTTATACTTTTAATGTCAAAGTTTACAATGCACACACGTACACCTATTTTGAATGCAAAACTTGGCAAGCACTATGCAAGGCTTATGCATTTGAGCCTGGTATGGTTATCACCTTTGATATTCATCCGAAAGATGATATTGAAGGTAATAGAAACATATGGGTCGATGTGCAGACGCCTCCAGTTCTACCATTATGTGAGTTCTTCTCAACTATATTTTTGTCTTTGATATTGCTTATTCAAAACTAATTGACAACTAATTTCTATTGACAGCTTATCTCCATTCAACCAAACATGTCCGGCGCTTGGTAGACATGACTTACTACTGTCCCGGAGCTGAACTAAACTGCGAGGAGATAAGTCATTATATTTCATGGCTTGAGGATCTTCATACTGTCAAGACAAATTTTCTTCCCGCACTTAGAAATGTTAGTACTCAAAACATGCGACCAATAGTGATGGTATTGAACTACGGTCACATCTATTTAGGAATGATGGTAAGATTTTTACTATTTGTCCTCAGTGCATCTTTTGCATACATAATTTTTTTTCTAAACTTTCATTGTTAAGTATATTAATTAAGTATTATACGATGTTCTTCAACAGGGACTCCCGATGACAGTTATGCCTCAGGGGATCGAGACTAAAGGTCGCATGTCAATTGTTAGCTTACGGCCAAGATATCCTGCATTGCACATGAATGCATTCAGGATTTCTAGAAGCGATGAATGCTTAATAGTGAAAGATTGGAGGAAAATTATTATCGATCGCAGAGAAATACTAGGGGGCAGTAATGAGAAGCGCGGCCCACGATTAGGAGACAGGTTCATCTGCATGCTCCAGTATGATGAATCAAAAGAGCTATACATGTTCTATGCTATTTTAACAGAGAGAGAGTAGCTAGCATGAGTGATTTAGCTAGTTCATGCTGCTCTTAGTACTTGTCCTTTCATGTCCGTGTTCTTCGTTCTGAACTTAAGTGATTTGCTTTTGTGGTGTTATATATGAACGCTTATAATATCATGACAATCATGTTGAACTCGATGATATTTTTGCTTCTGGTACAAGTGAATGTTTCTTCTTTAAGCTAGTAGTGTTGGTGGTGATTAGATAGCGGTAATGACTATGATAATTAAATAGTGATAATGACGACTACAATGATTTTTAGCTAGCTAGCTAGAGTATATATACTCATGTTTTGATGATATGATGCAAGAGTTTTTATATTAATTAATATGATGATGATGATGAGTTATTATATCATTTAATGAAAGAAACCGCAGATTAGTTTCAGCTGGATGGATCCTACCTAAGTGATCAAGTATATGCCAGATAGTCGAAACTAATCCGTGGTACTTTCACCTAATGATTTAACAACTCATTATAATGTAAAACAATCACTAAATTAAATTGAAAACACAAAATTAAAGAAAAATTAAAAAAACACCCAAACATTTAGTATCGGTTGGTGTTACCAATCGGTACTAATGCCCTACACGCACCCGGGCCTGGCTCGTGCCATGTGATGGCACTTTAGCGCCGGTTCGTGACGAACCGGTACTAAAGGGGGCGGACCTTTAGTCCCCACTCTTTAGTGCCGGTTGGCGAACCGGCACTAAAGGCCGTCACGAACCGGCACTAAAGGCCGGTTCTGCACTAGTGCAACCACTAGTCTATTGTCAAATGATACAAACTTTGTGGCTATCTGAGAGCATCTCCAGTGTTTGGAGGCAACCCAGCCTCTAACCTGGGTCCCACGAGCTGCCTCTAAATTTTATGTAAAATGCCGCACTGTGTTGCTAGCTTGCTGCCTCTAAGGTGGAGCCCACCTTATGAATTTAAAAAATATTTAATATCTGAACTAAAATGCACTGTTTCTCCTCTTCATGGCTCGTCCACCATCTGACTAGGAGGACCCATTCATTATTTTACTACTTGTGAGAGCTTGGAGGCTGCCTCTAGCCATAGCGTCGATGCTAAGCATTTTGGGCTTGGATGCAGCTGCTGCCCTGAGAGGCGGCGCTAAAGCTTTGGAGGCAGCTTTAAAGGCAGAGATTTCTCACACTGTGGATGCCCTGAGAGGGCGAGAATTTAAACAACAGTAGAGAAGTAATATGCTAATGGTGCGGCCCATACCTTCGAGGAGGCTTTAAAGCTCGACGTTAATATCAGTACCGTTGTTGTAATTCCATTGTATGTGGTTGAAATTGTACGATAGTAACCACCTGAATAATAAAGTGTTTAAAGCTGGTTCTTGAAAAAAAACATTGATACACGCAGAGGCAAAACATAGGGATCACACAGGAGAAGATAGTGTCAAACTGTCAATGTGCCGGAAGATCAGCGATGACATCGTAGCACGCTAAATTGTGAGGCGGAACATAATTATGATAGTCTAAGCAATTTATATCAAGTACTCCCTCCGTCCTTGAAATTCCAACTTTGTTGGAGGGTCAAACTATGTCAAAGTTTGACCGAGTTTGTGCAAAAATATATCAATGCTTGTGAAACCAAATAGGTATATGATAAAAATATATTTTATCACGAATCTAATCTACTAATTTGATGGCATAAATATTGGTCTATTATTGTATAAATGCGGTCAAATATAAAAAAGTTTGACTTTCCAACAAAGTTGCAAGTACACTTTTTCAAGGACAGAGGGAGTAGTAATCTTTATGCCATCAGAAATCACATGCATCAACCACAGAAATAAGTAAATATATATTAAAATGTACTGTAATTTATATTGATACATTGGGGGGGAATCTAAGTACATGGTGGCGGGCCATGAGGGTTTCCAGTATCTGCATCAGGGGTGCTAAAAATCGCCAATACAAGAGAAAACTTAAAAAAGAACTATTGCATGCTTCCATGCATGGGAACAAAATCAATAACATCAAGTGATCAATCTGCTGGTGGTCTTGTGCATCGAAGGCCGGACGAGGTGCCACTCATGCTGCTTTGACATCAGCAGCCTCCGCGAAGGTTTTTTCCATTACGGAATACTTGTCGGCGGGCGCAGCGGCAAGGACCGCATCAGAAGCCACCTTGTAGGCGGTGGTAACCGCAGCAAATAGCTTCTTGTCCTTTGCAGACTGGGCAAGCATGTTGGCAGCGACGACGGTCTGCTGGAAGACGAGGGCTTTCATTTCGTCCTGTTGTGGTGCTGGGGCAGCAGCGACGACATCACCAATGGCCTCCTTGAAGGAATTCTCCAATGCGTCGACGGCCTTCACGGTGGGAGGATGACCAGCCTCGCTGAAGGTTTTGTCAAATACGGCATATTTGTCGGCGGGTTTAGCGGCAAGGACCGCATCGGAGGCCATCTTATAGGCAGTGACAATTTCATCAAGTTTCTTCTTATCTCCAGCGGCCTCATTGAGCGAGGCGGTGGCAGCGACTTTCTGCTTGAGCACGAAAGATTCTACTGCAGACCTTTTGGATGCTGGGGCGGCGGCGATGACCGCGTCAAAGGCCTTCTTGATGGATGAATCCATCTCTTCAATGGATTTGTCGCCGGCGGCGCTTGCCGCCGGTACCAATGTGGCTGCCACCACAATGGCAGCAAGGAACAATGTGCATGCAATGTTCTTGACCATGGCCATTGTAAGTTGTCCTAACAAGTGGTTGAGGGATGATCCAAGAAGATGGTATTGCTTCCGGTGAGATGTTTGCGCCATGTAAGTTTATGAAGGTGGCCATGCACTAAAATAGGAGATGGTGTCTAAAGAGGCCGTGAGGCCATGAGAGCTTCGCGGGTGTCCTACGGTGGTGCAAAATTGGTTGCATGAACCGATGTCTGGATGTATGAGCCACCGCTTGCCCCTCGTTTTGAGGAGCACACCCGAAATTGGTCACCAATCATTCTTTCAAGAGCACAGACAAAAGTGGCCACCAATCTTTCTGGTTTCGCGGTTGATTTTATGTGCATGTCTTACTAGCCTGTGATCTCTTGCTTTGAAAATTTGCAAACTGCATGTAGTGTTGGTCGGTTCAATTGATCGATCCTGGAGTGTTTTTATAATTACTAGCACATATGCCCGTGCAAAAACTACCATGTGTTCCTAGTATAATAAGCATGGCTCAACACGCTCTGCTGATCTACAACATGGTGTCTCACCAGTGTCAAAGCTTATATTCTTTCTGGCAGAGCATGTCACTGGACATGCAGTAGTGGAGCCGAGCTGTTTTGGGGTCAATTCATAGGCAGATAGCAAAACTGTGAGAATAACTTTGAGATGCAAAAGAACGGGCGCTTGCCACGGGGTATCAAGCATAGATAAAGGACATAGATGAGCATCTGCGCAAAGTTTATGAGCGCAAAGAAGTTATGTGTAGGCAGCGGTCAAGGATTGAATAATGGCTCAAGGCAGGCGATCTAAACACCCGGTATTTCCAAAACCGAGATTCTCACGGAAAAAAAAGAACACCGTTCGAGCTTTAATGAGAGAGAATGGGACGAGGTGCGCTGATGATGATAAGATGCGGGGATTGGCAACTGAGTTTTATACCAAGCTTTTCATGTCGAAGGGTCAGAGGGAGCCGACGAGCTGCTGCAACACATTGACAACTCAGTCACGAATGAGATAAATGTGAGGCTGACTGCACCCATCATGAACGAGGAGATTGAGGTCGCACTTTTTCAAGTGGGGCCGACAAAAGCCTCAGGACCCGATGGGCTCCCGATGCTATTTTATCAACGACATTGATCGTTGCTTCCATCGCTCTCCTCGGTTTTTGGGAAGGTTCTGGGAAGGTCGTAGAACCTTCTCAGACCGGTTTTTTTATTTCCCTTTCGCTTTTCTTATTTTGACTTTTCATGTTCATTTTCCTTTTCCTTTTTATTTTCTGAATATTTTTCCAAATTCGCAAATATTTTACGTCCATCAAGTTCAAAAATTATTCATCAATTTCAAAAATTATTCATCAAATACAAAAATATGTTCATCACAATTCAAAAAAAATTCACCCTATTTTTCTGAAAAATTTCGTGAATTTCAAAAAATGGTCATAGAATAAAAAATTGTTCCTCCAATTCAAAAAGTTCATCAAATACAAAAAACCACTTTTAGAAATTCGCGAGCATTGGTTAAATGAGTGAATATTTCGTGAAAACTATGAACGATTTTTCGAATTGATGAACTTTTTTTAAATTAGTGACCAGTTCTAAAAAAAGAATTTTGTGGACTTTTTCTAAAAGTTGTGAACATTTTTTGAAGTCCAAGAACATATTTGAAAATTTCTTTTTATATTACATGGACATTTTTTCAAAATTATGAATATTTTTGGAAAGCCCAAATTTGAATTGAAGAAGCAAAAAATAAAAAGGGAACAAATATATTCCCCTAATAATAAAGCAAATAGTGCTTCTGGTCGTACGTTGTTGGTAAATTTGCACAAAAGCCCCTCACTTTTTATAAAATCAACCCACAGTCCATATAGAATCAACCCGGAAGTGGAAAAAAAGCCCATGCCGTCCGTCTCCCACACACAAAGCAGAGCAGTTGATTTTCTCTATAAAATCCCACATACATGCGCCTTGATGATTCTAACAAGAGGCAACAGAAATCAACAGAAGAATGAATCCAAAGAGGTGTGCAGCTAAGGAACCAAATGGAACCCAAAGAGAAGGGAAGGGCCTGCTCCAGGCAAAGGAGAGGCCGGCCGGAGGGGAGCAGCCCTGGCCTTGCTTCGTGGTGGGGCGGCGTTGTGGCCCTCGTCGGCCGGTGGCAGCGGCTATGGTGGGGAGGCGAAGGGCGCAACAAGAGAGGACGGAGCGGCGGACGACTGTGCTCGCCAGCAACAGGCCTTGGCTGGCCGACCGGCAGATATGGCTACCAACGGAGCCACTGCACACCGCGGCACCGCGGCCCTGCAGCCCCCATCGCCACCAGCCATTCAGCCACCCTCCACAGGGAGGAGAGGGGCTACACCACCACAGAACGCGGGGGAGGGGAGGGGAGGAGGGGGCGGGGCGGGATCACGGCAGCGGGCGCATCCCTGGGGAAGGTCGGGATGGATTTGGCTTGGCGAGAGCAGGAAAAAGAGAAGAAAAGAAACGACGGCTGATGAAGTGCGTGGGAGAGAGACAACGATGATAAGGTTGGAAGGGAACAACGGTGCATGGGATCCCAATTATTTTTTTCAACAGAAGAGGTATTCCGGTTGTGTTCAGGGCCGGCCCTGGGCCAGGGCAGCAGGGGCGACGGCCCGAGGCCCAGTGAAATTAGGGGCCCCGACCTGTAGGGTACAGTGTATATATAAGCCCATATGAATTGGCGCAAATAAAAAAGCAAGGGGCTGTAGGCAGGGTCGCAGGGAGGCCCATCTCCAACAGAAGCCCAACTGCCAAGAGGCCCGAAGTCACGCCAGTTCGTTTTCTAGCCTGTTCGTTTTCTCGCCAAGGGGCATAGAGGCGAGCGACTCTCCTCCTCCTCAGTCTGAACGCCGGTTCATTTTCTCGCCTGTTCGCCTTCACAGATCGGCCGACCGGGCAACTGCGAGTCTTCGACAGCGGCTGCCGCCAGATGCATTCGCAAGGAATAGCAGGACACAAAGGTAAATCTCAACATTAATTTCTCTTAGCCCTCAATCTTAATATAGTGATTAATCTATATTCTTCTTTTTACAACAGTAGTGTTCTTGGAGTAGAGTTCGATCTGTTGTTGACGACTTGGTGCTGGACTTCTTGTTTCCTTGATGATTGAATATGGATAGTTGCAGCCCGAAGAACACAAATTTTCACTGATTTATTGCAATATTCAGCCTTCAAGTGCCTTCAATCCTTTTCTTGCAAACATGCTGCCCAAAAAACATTTATCTGGTTTCCAGAAAAGAACAAAGAGGAAAAGAAGAGATAAGTTTATTGGAACTCAGAAGGGAGCTATGCGTAAATTTGCTGTGAGGAATGACACTACTGATAATCTTGATGAATTAGATGGCAATGGTGCTGAAGAACAACAACTTGCTGGGAATGAGACCACAATTGTGGAAAACAATGCCCATGAGACTCCTATAAATTTGAGTGGCCGTGAGAATCCTAAAAGTGTTAATGAACAAGGATCTTCTCTTTTTGATATCTATGACCCTAGAAACTGGGACGCTCTTGACAATAAAGCAAGAGATATTCTGATTGAAAAAGGGCCTACAAGGGAATACAATCTTGTATTCGAAACGGATAATGTTGGAAGACATTTTTCGTACGCTTACTACTCAAGAAAGCTTAGTAATGGGGAGGTCAGTGATCGGAAGTGGTTGGTGTACTCGAAACATGTGAATAAAGTTTACTGTTTTTGCTACAAATTGTTCAAGTCTGAAAGTAGCAAAAGTTTACTAGCATCTGAAGGACTAATGGACTGGAAGCATCTAAGTGAGAAGCTCAAACTTCATGAGAATAGTGTTGAGCATATCACTAACATGAATACTTGGAATGAGGTAAGACTGAGGCTAAGTAAAAATGTGACAATTGATAAAGATCTGCAGCAAGAAATTGCAAAGGAGAAAGAGCGATGGAGACAAGTTCTGATTAGAATTGCTGCTGCAGTGAAGTTTCTTGCCAAGCATAATTTGGCTTTTCGAGGATCAAATGAGAAACTATACCAAGTTAGCAATGGAAACTTTTTGGGAGTAATTGAAATGATAGCAGAATTTGACCCAGTTATGCAAGATCATCTTAGGCGCATTCAAATAGTGAAATTCACTATCATTATCTTGGGCATAAGATTCAGAATGAGTTAATTAGCCTTCTTGCTCAGAGTGTGAAAGATTCTATCTTAAAGGTAATTAAGGATGCCAAGTATTTCTCTGTTATTCTTGATTGTACCCCTGATGTGAGCCATCAAGAACAATTGACTCTAATTGTGAGATGTGTAAACATGTCAAGTGCCACTACAAAAATAAATGAGTATTTTTTAGAGTTCCTAAAGGTGGATGATACATCAGGACTTGGACTTTATAAAGAGTTAATAACTGCACTTGGGTTGCTTGGTTTGAATGTTAATGGTGTTAGAGGTCAAGGATATGATAATGGTTCAAACATGAAGGGAAAACACCAAGGTGTCCAGAAGAGGCTACTTGAAATAAATCCGAGAGCATTGTACATGCCATGTGCCTGTCATAGCCTGAATCTTACTCTATGCGATATGGCAAAATCTTGCAGCAAAGCTATTACTTTCTTTGGAGTTGTGCAACGGATCTACATATTGTTTTCAGGCTCTATTAAAAGATGGCAGGTATTGCTTGATAATGTTCCAAACCTTACTGTTAAATATCTCTGTAATACTCGCTGGGAGAGTCGGATAAAGAGTGTTCAAGCTATTAGATATCAAGCGCCTCAGTTAAGAAAAGCTCTATTGGAGTTGCAGAGAACTTCTAATGATGACCCCAAAACTAAGAGTGATGCAAAATCTTTGGTTACTGCACTTGGAAATTTTGAATTCTTAGTTGGCATGGTCATTTGGCATGATATTTTATTTACTATCAACATGGTCAGTAAGAAGTTGCAGTCTGAGTTTATGTGCATTGATGTTACCCTTAAGCAAATTGAAGGTGCCATCTCATTTTTTAAGAAGTACATAAATGACGGCTTTGCATCCAGTGTGAACATTGCAAAATCTATTGCATCTGACATGGATATAGACCCTGTATTTCCTGTGAAACGTCATGTTATCAGAAAAAAGCATTTTGATGAAACTAATGGTAGTGAAGAAAATAATCAAATGGAAGAAGCGCAAGCAGTTGCAAAGGAATCATTTAGAGTAAAATACTTTCTCGTGATGATAGATGTTGCAATTAATTCCCTGACCACCAGATTTGATGAGCTTAAGTCATTTGGGAGTATATTTGGCTTCTTATTCAACTCTAAAAAATGAAATCCTTGGATGATAATGACCTGAGAAGATGTTGCACTAATTTTGCAAAGACTTTTTCTCATGACAACTCAACAGATGTTGACTTGGATGATTTTGTTTCTGAACTGAAAGTGTTGCAAATGACATTGCCAAATACACTCATGCCAGCAGATCAGATATTTGAGTTTGTTAGAGCTGCAGATTGCTATCCAAACGTGTCAATTGCTTATCGAATTCTCTTAACTATGCCTGTGACGGTAGCATCAGCAGAACGAAGTTTTTCAAAATTGAAGTTGTTGAAAAATTACTTGAGGTCAACTATGTCGCAAGAAAGATTGATGGATTGGCAATATGTTGTATTGAGAAGGATGTGTTGGATAACATTGATCTTGATACTGTCATTAATGATTTTGCATCGAAAAATGCACGAAGGAGCCGTTTCTCATGATTACTGGAGGCTTGGAGGTTCATTAGCATATGATTTACTTTTTGTTATGCTCTGGAACTTCTATGATATTTGATTTAGACCTGAAGTATGACGTTGTTATTTATGACCTGGAGTATTATTTACCAAGGAAAATTACCACTGTTTATTATAGCTTTGCAAGAAATTTTTTTCTATCAATGTATGGGATCATTTTTTTCCTCCAATGTCGCCACTGGGCCCATTCATTTGAGTTCGCCCCGGGGCCTCCGAAACTCGAGGACCGGCGCTGATTGTGTTAGATCTTTCTCGTAGCAGTACATGCATTTGTTTGCTTCTCCAAATCTACATGCACACAATTGACAGGTCTGGTTCTATGTTTTTTCTTCTTCTTGAACTTGGATTTGCATCCGTTTGTATTTTTTGATGTATACTCACGGTGACTACATAGGCCAACATACATGGCGGAAACATATATGTCCCGACGCCCAATAAAATAAAATAGATTTCTCGTCTTAGGATGGACAACATTCAAACATATTGTGATTGCATGAGTATTGAGATCACTGTCAGAGTATTGAGATCACTATCATCGAGAGTGGAGAGGAGGATAAGTAGCAACACAGATGAGACGTCATGCGTTAAAATAAAAGACGGACATATTGTAGTCTCAAGTCATAATTATTGTGTTAAAAGAGTGTGGTATATCCCCTCAAAAAAAAAAGAGTGTGGTATATTTCCCGTTGCAACGCACGGGCTCTTTTACTATGAAATAAAAACGAAAAAGGGCGCCCCAACCTCGTACATCGACCGGCGGAAAAGGTCACGTGAGAGAGCGAAGGGTGCGCACTGATTGTGGAATAGGAGCTCGAACGGTATATCTCGCCTTAAGCGAGATGGAAAGGATCTCTCGCTGAAGGCTCTATAGTACTCGGCCAGGCCCCTTCGCGCACAGTAAACAGAAAAAGAGAAGAAAAAAATGAAGCCTGGTGGGATTCAAACACTGGTCGGTTGGTTTAGAGCAAGCGAAGCTAACCACTAGGCTTTGCCTTAGATTCGAATAGTAAAGCTAGATTACTTAAGTCCAAACGGGTCGAGGTTTCCACTCTTTCTTCCCCCTTTTTTTTTCAGTTTTCTTTTCTTATCCATTTTTTCATTCTTCTTTGCATTTTATTTTTTCATTTTTTTCATTTACTTTTTTATTTTGTATATTTTATTTTTTTCGGTTTTCTTTGTTCTTTTGGTTATTGTTTTAATTTTTTTATATGTCAACAACATTTCTCTAATACACGTCCAACATTTTTCCAATACATATTAAACATTTTTTAATACATAGTCAATATTTTATCAAATGCTTGATTAACTTCTTTATATACATGACCCTTTTTTCATCATTTTCTTAATACATGATCAGCATATTTTCTATACACATTTAACATTTCTCAAATGATTGATTAACATTTTTCAAATACTTGTTCAATATTTTTTAATGGTTGATTAAAAAAATATACACATGATCAAAACAATTCAACATTTTTTAATACATGATAATTTTTTTTACACACATTTAATTTTTTTCTGAATGCTTGTTTACATTTTTCAAATATTTGTTCAACATTTTTCAAATACTTGTTGAACATTTTCGTATACATGGTCAGCATTTTTTATACGCATTTAACATTTTCGAAAGCATTATTAACATTTTTTAAAACATTATGTAAAGTATACATTCTTTCATATATATGTTTATAATTTTTGAAAGTGTTAACAAAAGTTAAAAAAAGAAATAGAAAATAAAAAAAAGAACGAGAAACCCGGGCCGGCCCATTTGGAGCTGCCTTGGCGTGAGGGTTTCCCTCGGTCTCGCTTAAAGCGAGACATCGGGCGCCTGAATAGGAGGCCCCCCAACGGCCGCAACCCCCGGCTTAAGAGCATCTACTGTTGGGCGCCTCATATCCGCCCTCATACGCTCGGGCAGGCCACCCGGTCACTGACCGGTCACGATTTCTCGACCCAGACGGGCTTCTTAAACGGGCCTCAAACGTGTAGGCAGACCGCACAGTCACGATTTTTCGACCCAGGCGGGCTCCTTAAACGGGCCTCAAACGCCCGGGCAGGCCACACGGTCACGATTTTTCGACCCAGACGGGCTTCTTAAACGGGCCTCAAACGTTCGGGCTGGCCGGCACCCATCATATCCAGCTCAAAATACGGGGCCGATAACAGGGCGCCCGGACGCACCCGGGTATGCCCGCCACGTCGGAACCGACAGTCCAACCCCACCGCAAATTGCACCAAATCCGCCAATTTGTTCGGTTTGTTGAACTATGATTTGCTTTGTTTTGTTTTGAACTTTGAATTCGGACAATTTGTATCGTATGATCGACGTACTCCCTCCGTTTCTTTTTACTCCGCATATAAGATTTGGTCAAAGTCAAACTACACAAAGTTTGACCAAATTTATATAAAAAAATATGAACATCTACAATATTAAAGCTACATAGTATGAAATACATTTCATGGTGCATCTGATAATATTGATTTCATATTGTCAATGTTTATATTTTTTAATATAATGTTAGTCAAACTCTACAAAGATTGACTTTGACCAACTTTATATGCAGACTAAAAAAAACGGAGGGAGTACATGGATTGCATGGATTTGATGATCATAAGGTATGTCGATGTGCGACGCAACATATGATGGACCGGCGTGCGCTGTCCGCGGACCCGTTCGGACGCGTCCATAGACGTATAAGGAGTCAGATTTGTCAAGTTCGGCTCTAGATGCTCTAAGGTCAGCGAATTCAGAACCGCGTAAGGCCACCATGCTCTAAGCGGATGCTCGATCGATGGTAGCACGAACGAAGCAGCAGTGTTACTCGAGATTGACTTGACCTCGTCCTACTGCCTGTGAAAAAAATCAAGTTGAGTGTCGACCAATGATTGGTGTCCGCAGTGTTTAATTAGCGCTACTACAAGTATGCATGATTTGAGTTTTGTATCGAGCCATACACAACACAAGATCCTCCCACCTTCCCCAAGCGCAGGTGGAGTATGTTCACAGGCCTATGCGTCTCCCTCCCTTAAAAAAAAACCACCATGCACCCTAATAAAAACAGTATTATGTTTAATTCTCCGAATTACTGTAGGTCCGTACATAAACATTGAAGGGTAAATCCTTTTACTACCGCTGGCTAGCTGCAGCGCGCGGCCACGGTGCTGTGAGCACATGGGAAGAAAGCCAGAAAAAGACGCACGAACGCGTGTTTGCAGCTAGCACAAACCGACGATTTTGCCAGATCCTCAGGGGATCTCCAGCCACGCCTCCAGAAAGGCCTTCCCAAACGTTTTTTTTGCATCGGCGCCGAAAAAATAGCTCAGTCACGCTCCTAGGAGCCCGATTTTCGCCGGCTTGGGCCGAAAACAGCGCCGGCGGACCCAGGGGGCGCCGGGGCGAGCTGTTTTGGCGCGAAAAAGCCGTGGGCCAGCCGCGTCAGCGACTCGGCGCCTCGTCTTCCCCCAACAGCCTCGGTTGCCGCGGGAAATCAATGGCAAGGCTGTCGCCGGTCAGCCTTGCCATTGATTCCTCACGGACGGCGCATCACGGGACGGCGCGCCGACGCCTCCCCTCCCTCGCACGCGTACACACGGGTGCGGCGCGGCTATAAAAGCCGGTGGCCTCCACTCGCCTGTGCCCACACCAGCCCCGCCCCTCGCCCGCCGTCCAGCCCCTCCCTCTCCCTACCTCTCCCGAGCGCCGCCGCCCAGCCCCTCCCTCTACCTCTCCCGAGCCCGCTCAGCCCCGCCGTCGCCATGGCAGAACGCTTCCCAGGAGACGAGGCGGCGGCCAACGGCTTCGGCCGCCGTTCGCTACGTGAATAGGAGTCCTGGCTCCTGTTCCAGGCGAACATCCCGGCGCCGCCGGACATGCGCGCCGGGCCAACGGGGTGGAGACTCAGCGCCGGGGGAGTGCCCATTCCCCCGTTGCCCGACGCCGCGGCGAAGCCGAAGTACTTCGTCGAGGAAGTCGAGGTCGTGCGCGCCTCCCTCACCGACGCGCAACTCTTCCTCCCTATTACGCCGCCGACAACCACGCGGCATGGGCGGCGTATTTCGAGCGCTGCCAGCAGCAGCGCTTGGGCGGCCGGCAGAACAGCAAGGGGCGCCACCTGTGGTGGGGCGTCCCCGAGCGCACACTCGAGGGCGTGCTCACGTACCTCGAGGACGACAACGACCCGCCGTTGGCGTACCCCCCGGCGAGGGTGGCCGCCCCGGCACAGCACCGACGCGCCGGGCCGTGGGCGCCAAGGAGGTTCGGGTCCTCCTCCTCCTCTTCTTCCTCCCGATCCTCGTCGCACTCCTCCGGCACTCCGGCCCTGCTCGGCGTCAAGGCCGAGCCCGTGGCGGAGATGCCGCTCGGCCGGCGCACTCGCAGCGCCGACATCGTCATCAACGAGGGCGGCCGGCGCGCCTCCCCCTCGTCGGCTCCTCCGCGCTTCGTCAAGCCAAAGACGGAGCCGGGGCTGGCACCGGTGAAGGCGGAGCCGGGGCTGGCGCCGGTGAAGGCGAAGTTTGAGGACGACGACGCGGCCCC